TTTTCTGAGCTCTCCCTCCCAGGCAAGGAAACTGGGGCCCATCCACGAAAGGTACCACAAGGCAGATGGCATATTGCCCATGAAACCACAGGGAGAGCCAAACTCCTGAAGATGTCTAGGTAGGGATACAGCTAGAGAGAGCTGTGTGGGGAGCCCCAGAGTGGAATAGCAGGTGAGGCTGCAGGGCTGGACTGAGTGGCATTGGCAGAGCTGCGAGGGGGATGAAGGAAAGAAAAGAGAACACAGCATGAGCCCGTGCATGTGCAGCTTACGGTTCGGTGGTGGGCGAGGTGTCTCCAGGGAGGAGGAAGAGGAGCAGGAGGAAGATGCTCGGGCCACCGGGCAGCCTGTCCTTCCCCATGGTGCAGAGTGAGGGTGGTGAGCGAGGCAGACACACAGACTTGTCCGCTGGCTCCCTGCACCCTGGCTGTCCGCTGCGTCTGCCCCTTTATACCTCTCTCTGCAAACAGCCCCCGGGAGGGGCGAGATAAGGGCAGGGGGCCAGGACCATCTGGGAAATGGAGAGAGGTACGTGAGGAGGAGCCAGAGCCAACAGCTCTGACTCATGGCACAGAGACTGTCCCTGGCCAGACCCTGACAAACTGGGGGAAGATATTCATTGGAGGTGTTCATGTGAGACACTCTCCTGCAGGGCCGTAGCAACAAAGAACGTGGCCCCCTCCGAACATATGTCCGGGCAGGACCCCTTACAATGCAGAAACTGGAATGCGGCATTTTTTTTGCCACTTTTAGGGGCCCCCTTCCTTGCGGGTCCCCCTCCGGTCAGAGGGTACGGAGGACGCTCGCTACGCCTCTGCTCTCCTGTGTCTGAACCATTCACCCCCAAACCTGTTTGTATCACTCCAGCAGCACTCTGTGGTGGTTGGAGAAGCCCTTTAGCTCATTACAGGGCCAGTCCAGCATTCTGTGGGGATTGGAACAAACTCCCAAATCCTGACCAGCGTTTCCAGAGAAACCTTTCCTGTTCCTATGCTGTATTCCTCTGGTATGATAGCCAGCTACTTCCAATAATATCCCTCCGGTACAGCTCACAGGGGATGCCAGTGAGACCATTTTGTGTACCATTGCCCCCTGCTGCATGGTGAGTGTCAGAGCTGGCCATGGGTATAAAAGTGCCCTTTGCTGGCTGCAGGAGTGGAGCTGCCCCTGTAGTGGTGTGTTTGTGCCATTGCCTTGTTAGGAGTGCATAGAGCACACTTGCTCATGTGCACAGAGCTAGCTCTGGGCATATCAGTGCCCTCAGTTGTTCGAGGGAGCAGGAAGCTGGTGCTAGTCGTGAATGGTCTCTTTGGAGCACAGTAAGATTGGCACACTGGGGATCTAAACAGAGGAGGGAAAATCTTGTGAGAGAAAGTTGGGAGAAGTGGGTTCATTTCTCAGCCCTGCCACCGATTCACTGTGTGACCTTGGGCACGTTCACGCCCCTCTCTGTGCCTCAGTTTACCCATCAGTAAAATGGAGGTAATGATCCTGACCCACCTGGCAGGGGCGTGTTGGGCTCAACTGACTAATGATTGTCAAGTGGTTTAGGATCTTCTGATGGGAAGTTCTATAGAAAGGCAAAGGAAGAAGTCCTTTGGCGAGCAGATGGGAAAACAGAAGTAGACATTCTGAAGATTAATCCCTTACCCCATTAGGGAATTAAGATCATTCAGGGAGTGTGGGCAGCCCCTGCCCTGCTTCCACGAAACAGAGATCTGAAATACAGGGGAAACCTTAGTCAGGGGAAGGATAGATCTTATTCAGCTCCCCAGTAGACCTGGGAGAATGAGTAATTTTTCAGTTCCTGACAACCAGAAGTTTTCTAAAGATTTACTGAAGCGAAAGGTTGAAAAAAATTGTTTTGGCTCAAAAGAAAAATTTCATTCACCCTGAAAGAAAACATTTCATTTTTATGTTGAGTCTTTTTTTTTTTATGTATTTTTGAGTATTTTAAAAATAAATTAAAGGAAATTTTGAAAAGAACAAAAAAAAAAAAAACCCAAACCCCTATAACATTTTATTGGAAAATTTCAAAACAAAACATTTTCTTTTTCTGGAATTTGGTTTAAGGTTTCTCCCCCCAAAAAACTAAAATAATTTGCAAAACGTTTTGCTGCTGCCCAAGCTGCATTTTTGCTGCCAAAAAAAGAGACTTTTGTACAAAAAATATCACTCAGCTGTAATCCCAAACCCACACAGGCCCAGCTCTAGTCACTTCTAGTACAAACAGTTGGAAAAGACAAACATATGGTGAGGTTATGCAATTGGCTGTGTGTGATAACCCAGCCTTCACCCCACTGTGGGTCCAGGAGTGGGAAGTGAAAACATGTGAAGAGTTAGTATAGTACTTTAAAAGTCCTTGGACCACGGACTCAGAGGGTCCTGCCAATGAACAGGACAGTGAGTTAATATCCCCTGCACAGTCCCCTTCATACTGTCCCTCCCTTTATGCTCAAAGGAAATTTTTCATGCCCCAGCTGTCAGTTCATAATGTCTGAGAAATCGGGGCTCAAGAAGGCTCTGTGAAATAATGGTCTTAAGAGAGGTCCAGAGGGGGCTGCAGGGAAGGATGAAAGGTGTTGCCAGAGCTGTGGGGGGAGTCCAGGAATGCATGTGGCACTGGTGCAACCACTGCTGGTATAATGTGCCCTCTTCTGGTGTCTATAATGCAAGCAGGGTGCTGATAAACTGGAGAGGATTCAGAGAAGAGCCACTTAGTGATAAGATAATAGATTGAACTCCTTGAGTCTAACAAAGAGAAGGTTAAGGGGTGACTTGAACCCAATATAAGTTTGTACATTTGATAATGGGTTCTTAACAAGATCCAATGGCTAGAAGTTGAAACTAGACCAGGGGGATCCCCTTCTGACAACAAAATTACTACATGACTCCAGTAGGGGGGACCGAAGCCTGAGCCCGCCTGGGCCCTGCCTCCAGGCGGGGAGGCCAAAGCCGAAGCCCAAGGCTAGGATTGCCAGGTGTCTGGTTTTTAACTGGAATGCCCAGTCGAAAAGGGACCCTAGAGGCTCCGGTCAGCACTGCTGATAGGGCCATTAAAAGTCTGGTCGGTGGCGCAGTAGGGCTAAGGCAGGCTCCCTGCCTGCCATGGCTACATGCGGCTCCCGGAAGCAGCGGCATGTCCCCCCTCCGGCTCCTATGTGTAGGAGCAGCCAGGGGGCTCCACACACTGTTCCTGCCACAAGCGCCGGTTCTGCAGCTCCCATTGGCCATGAACCATGGTTAATGGGAGCTGCAGGATGGTGCCTGTGGACTGGCCAGAGCTGCCTGGCCGCACCTCCACATAGGAGCTGGAGGAGGGACATGCCACCGCTTTTGGGAACTACCTGAGGTAAGTGCCACCAGAGCCTGTATCCCGTGCCCCAACCCCCTGCCCAAGCCCTGATTCCCCTCCAAACTTCTCGATCCCAGCCCGGAGCCCTCTCCTGCACCCCAAAACCCTCATCCCCATCCCCAACCCAGAACCCACACCTCCAGCCAGAGCTCCTGACCCCCACACTCCAACCCCCTGCCCTAGCCCTGATCCCCATCCTACCCTCTGAACTCCTCAATCCCAGCCCGGAGCCCCCTCCTGCACCCCAAACCCCTCATTCATGGCCTTACACCAAAGCCCATATCCCCTGTCAGAGCCCTCACCCTCCTGCACCCAAACCCCCTGCCCCAGCCCCCTCCTGCACCCCAAATCTCTCATCCTCGACCCCACATTAGAGCCAGCACCCCCAGCTGGAGCCCGAACCCCCTTGCACCCAACCCCCCTGCCCCAGCCTGGAGCTGCCTCACATACTCCGAACCCCTCAGCTCTATCCCCAGCCTGGAGCCTCAGAGAAGAGCCACGGCAGGGGTGGGGCCTCAGAGGAGGGATGGGGCAGGGGGCAGGGTGTTTGGTTTTGTGTGAAGTAGAAAGTTGCCAACTCTACCCAGGGCTGAAGCTGAAGCCCGAGCCCCACTACCCAGGGCTGAAGTCCTTGGACTTTGGCCCGGGCAGTGGGGCTTGGGGTTCGGCTTCAGCCCAGCCCCAGCCCCAGCCCCAGCAAGCCTAAAGCCAGCCCTGGTGACCCCATTAGCACAGGGTCCCGACCCACAGTTTGAGAAGCGCTGAGCTAGACAAATTTACACTGGAAATAAGGTCTACATTTTAACAGTGAGGGTAATTAATGACTAAAACAATTTACCAGGGGTCACAGTGGATTCTCTATCAGGAGCAATTTTTAAATCAAGATTGGATTTTTTAAAAGACATGCACTAGTTCAAAAAGAGTTGTCTATGGCCTGGGTTAGACATGAAGTCAGAGCAGATGATCACAATTGTCCCTTCTGGCCTCAGAATCTATGAATAGGGGGCTGCAGGGCAGGACTGAGGGGCATTGGCAGAGCTGTGTGAGGAGCCCAGGACTGGGATAGCAGGGGGGCTGCAGGGCAGGACTGAGGGGCATGGGCAGAGCTGTGTGAGGAGCCCAGGACTGGGGTAGCAGGGGGCTGCAGGCAGGAGCGGCGCCAGGGTTTTTGCCACCCTAGGCGGCAGCGCTCCTCTTCTGAGCATTCGGCAGCGGGGGTCCTTCCGCTCTGCATCTTCGGGGCACTTTGGCGAGTGAAGGACCCGCTGCCAAATTTCCACTGAAGACCCGGAGCGGAAGGACCCCCCGCCGCTGAATTTCCGCTGAGGACAGCAAAATGCTGCACCCCAAATCCTGCTGCTCTAGGCAACCGCCTAGGGTCGCCTAGTGGAAATGCCGGCACTGGAATAGCAGGGGCTGCAGGGCAGGACTAAGGGGCATTGGCAGAGCTGGGTGGGGAGCCCAGGACTGGGATAGCAGGGGGTGCAGGGCAGGACTGAGGGGCATCATCTGAGCTATGTGGGGAGCCCAGGGCTTGAATAGAAGGGGGACTGCAGGGCAGGATTGAGGTATGTCTCTGGATAAAGCTTGTGGGACCCCTTTCCCACACCATGGTGGTGCTTTTAGGGTCTCATTGACAAGCCTGAACCTTCATGTGTGTTTGGGAATGAAGCTGTGTCCTGGCTGGCATTAAGCATAGACCACTAGTGGAAGTGGCTGAAAAACAGTCTCCCTTTCTTGTGAAAAAATTAAAATTGTTTTGAACAGAACAAAACAAAACTCTTTTGTCCTGAGCAAAGACATAAGGTCAAAAATTTGAATTTTTTCACAAGGAGGAAAGCCTGAAAACATTCCCTTTGGGGAGAACCAAGCCAGAATTTAACTACTTGCTCCAGGGGCTGCCTGACTCCCTAGTCATTTGGCTTCCTGGGTTGGCTGACTCTGGGCCAAGGGATGCCCTCAGAGCTGTCTGAAGATCCCTGGGAGCAGAGGCTCCAGCCAGCCCTCCAGGTGAGAAGCCACAGGAGGCAGGCGATGAGCTAGCAGAAAAAGCAGGTAAGTTTCCGTTGAATGTTTCATCGAGATCTA